CTAATAGATGTTAGCTGTTTGGGTTAGAGGGTATGACTAGTTGATAACATTAGCTTATTGTAGAAAGATGTTTGGTAAATTAGCAGTTAGCTGATAGCTATTTAGTATAATTTCTTTTCTTAAAAAGCTAATTGAAAAAGTTGCTTTGAGTAGTAATGGATACTCAATATGTGAACCCAGTTGGACCGCCTAGCCCGATTGGACCACCTGAACCCGATCAAACCTCCATCACCCCATAGCAAATACCCCTCTTTATCATAATAATTACCTAGTTATTATTATTCACGTATTACCCCACAAAAAACACCTAATTATTACCCCATTATCACACATTTATTTCCCTAGCTATTAATTACCCAGCAAAGCACCACCTCCATTCCAATTGATGACCATTAAATCACCCTATTTACTACTCATAAAACCCATTAAACCACATCATCAAACCCATTAACGGTAAGAAAGCCTACACTATTCATCCACTGCTATAAAAGGCCATTGAAAGAGTGAAGGGAGGGGGCCATCTATTTCATTCTTACACACTAGAAGACACACATTACTCTTTCACACATAAGAGGACTCTTCTCCATAACCACTCTTCCATCATCACATGAAGAAGACTCCATTTTTCACCACAAGGAAAGCTCCGTTCTCTCAAGAAGAATACTCTATCTCTATGTACCAAAATAGCTTCATCCCTACACCATATCACTTGTACAAAATAGCCATCCAAACATGTACACAGACTCCTACAAGATAGTGAATTTTAGGCTTGGCACCGCCCAAAAAGGCTTGCGGTTTTCCTTTCGATTTCCACGTAAAAATCATCGTGTCATATTCTTTCTATATCTATTTTTATATTCTACTTCTAGCAAAATAAATTATCAATTTTTGTTTATATTTTCTCCGGTGAATCCACCAATCTATCGGTTGTGTTGTACCCCCGTGGGCTTCCCAAAAGTCCTAAACCAACAAGCAGCTTTTTGAATTTTAACATTTCAGAGTTACAAACAGGCCGTGGGAATAACCCCCTAAAATACTAAGCTAACTATTTTACCAAACAGGGCTATAGTTAGCTTATCAGTCAATTTTGACTTATTTGACCACTATTAGTTGTTTAACTTGGTTAAATAATCAATATGAGTGTTTGATTAATTAGCTTTTTGTAACAACTTATTGCTCCAAAATATTAAAATTAAAAAAGCTACTTAAAAATAGCTTTTTCGATAAGCTTTCTAAGAAGGTCATTTTGTATGTGAACTATCAGCTAACAACTAATTTACCAAACACTTTTCTACAATCAAGTAGTGTTATCAACTGTTGGATACTTCGTTGGTAAGGTAAAACCCGGGTTTGGTGTTAGCAAAAACATAGGTTAAGTGAATTAGGTTTCCTAAGATAACGCAAGAAAGAACATCTATGCTATACAATTCAATAAATTTTAAAAGAGTTCTTGTATAAATAGTGGTGCAAATCCACTTCCTAAACCAATGTGGGACAAAAGCTACTCCCAAGCTTTTTTCCCTTCACTTTTCCAACTCAAATGGGTCTAATTTGAGAATCAATATCTCATTCACCCATTATACGTCTTAAGCGTACAATATATCAATCTCTTCGTCTCACTACGAAGAACCCGAATCCACTTTCACCCGACTTAAATCGAAAGTGGACCCCACAAATAATTGTACCACAAATAGTCACTTAATATGCCATTTTAAGCTATTGTTTCCAACATCAACTAGTCAAACCTACTAATCCAATCAACTAATAGCTAGCTATCAGCTGACAACTATCTTAACTATAATATAGTCATATGGTTTGGTGAGCAATTATTGTTACAATAATTGCTCACCAAACCATATGGTTATATTATAGTTAAGATTTATTTATTACATGGTGCATAAAAATTCAAATTAACCTTAATTCATTTTCAGAAATAACTTCAACTGAGATTATTCTAATGAGGTCAATCTTAAAAATTTAGTACATAGTATTTAATATTACAAATTTTTAAGAACTTAGTAAACTACAATAGTAATTAAATTTCAATTTTCAGAGTCGCCACGGATCAAAATTTTTAGACCTTTGAGATTTCTAACAATTTTCAGAGTCACCACAGATCAAAATTTTTAGATCTTAGCTTTGAGATTTCTAACAATTTTCAGAGTCACCACGGATCAAAATTTTTAGACCTTAGCTTTGAGATTTCTAACAATTTTCAGAGTCACCACTGATCAAAATTTTTAGACCTTTGAGATTTCTAACTCTAGAAATCTCAAAGGTCTACAAATTTTGATCCGTGGTGACTCTGAAAATTGTAATTCAGTTACTATTGTAGTTTACTAAGTTCTTAAAAATTTGTAATATTAAATACTATGAACTAAATTTTTAATATAGTTTAAGATTTATAGTAATCACCCACCTTAAATACCAATTCTTATTTAAATTGTAAATATATTTATGATGTTCATAATTATATTTTATCATAGCAATTCACACATATTATTAAATGACAAAATATTTATATATGAATAAACCTTATATAAAGTATATTTTTATAACATATTTTCCGTACATCGTACGAGACAAATACTAGTTTACTAAACACCCCTATAATTCACGTGTTGTTTGGAGCTTGTCAAAAATAACCGGCTCACGCACATGAAGAGTCGTGTTTAGTCAAAATAATAGAAGTGTATACTAAACGCTTAAACCTTTTGGTTCATGTGAAACTAACCCATATGCATGCAAGATGTGAGCAGATAGATCATAGATGGAGAAATAATATAATAATACTTACATTGTGGTTTCACAAAAAATAACAGAGCCCTGGTCTGGAAAAACAGCAACGCCATTAGCAAAGAACAAGTGTTTGAGCAGCACTTTGGTTTGGTTATTGTGTGGATTATAGCTTAAAAGTCTGCCGTAGGGTCTCCCTTCACAAGCATCCCAAAAAACATCATTAAGTCCATATTTCCATGACGCATCTGTGAAGTATAGCACACCATCCTCTGCAATGTCGACAGCATCCGTTAGTTTGAACTTAACGCCGTCCGCCTCGTCCGTCAGCACTTGCACTTTGCCGTCTAAGGTAACGTTCAGTAATCCCTGTAATAATATACTGAATATTAGTTTTGGTCATTTTTTTTTAATAAGTTGGTCGGAAGACGGCAATTCCTAACCTTCTTAGTTTGAAGTACTCATTTTTGGATAACCTAAGTTAATACCTCGAACTCACAACCTCCACAACCTCCCATATGAGAGAGTAACTTAGTACTAAATCACAAGGTTATTGGCTTATTGATAACCTTATAGCAAGTGAATTAAATAATTCATGCTTCAAATTAAGTGAAATACAAGAAGTTGATATTATACATACCCTCTAACCTCTGTTTTAATACTCTAATAATTAAAAGTGTAATAATATAAAGGAAAGGAAAATATGTGGTTTACCATATCAGCATCGGCTACGATGACTTCACCGTGAAGTCCATGAGCGAGTCCGAGCGGCCTGCCACCGGTGTTAACCCAGTCCTCCACCGCCGAGTCCGCAGGCGACGACTCGTTCACAGTGACTCGCTTGATCCACCCATCCATACACCCCGTGTATATCACACCCGTCTTGGGGTCGTACGCTATGTCCTCCGGCCCCGACAGCCGCCCAACTCCTATCTTCTCGGAACCATGCAGCAAATGGCCGTTACGCTTCGGGGCAACCGCCGGCCTCCCCTGAGTCAACTCGTGAACTGGGTACGGAGCCGGGTCGAACGAGTCGAACTGGTATATGATGACGCCTAAAATCACTGGCACCACAAAAGCAAAGGGCCACAGACCACTCATCTTTGTTCTCAGGATCTTTTCTTGATTTCTTCACTTCACTCGGGCATAAAATGGGTCAACTCAGTGATTTTACTCAAACTATATCTACTCTAGCATGGCATATCTAATATCACAAAATGTGTCAACTCAGTGAATTTACTCAAACTATATCTACTCTAGCATAGCATATCTAATATCATTAAATGGGTCAACTCAGTGAATTTAGTCAAACTATATCTACTCTAGCCTAGCATATCCAAATGGTTGTCTTTTTCGTAGAAAAGTTTAAACGTAAGTATGTAGGGCCAGAGCCTTCTGCATGTGTGAGGAGTTAGCCTCCCCACTTGCCTAATTTCTTCTGCATGGTTTAATGACTTAAGTCAGGATTGTACACCTTTAATTTCCAGCTAAATACTATATATATTATTCATAATAGTCATAATATAAATAGTAATTTGTGGTGACCCGAACGCTCTAGACCGATAATTCGAGTCACATAAGGTTATTCTTTATAATAGAACTGATGTGTAACATAACATACATAGAAGCTATGTTGGTATCAGCTCTCATTTTTCAATTTTAGTTAACACGGTTCAACTCACCTGATAAATTTGATGGTCCGAGAGATTTACGGTTAAGGCCGACCTGACAAAATAATAAAATAATAAAAATAACCCATTATCATAAACCGATAAGTCCGACAAAACTAACCCGAACTTAAAGTGGGTTGCTCCAATTCACATCCCTATCTATTTATACACTTGCGCCCGTGGCTGAAAAATGAAAAAAAATGTATAACTTAGGGTGTGTTTGGAAAGTAGGAAAATGATTTCTGAAAAATGACTCATTTTTTAAAAAACATTTTACTTTTCAGTGTTTGGTTACATTCCAGAAACTGTCTTGGTGTGTTTGGTTCATTTTCTGAAAAATGAACATAATTATTTTTAATTTTAAATATTTAAAATTTAAAATATACAATGGTGGTGGTGGATGGTGGGTGTGGTGGTGGCGGCGGCGGCGACGGGTGATTAGCTGCTCCACTGCTGCAAACGGAAAATGACTTCTCAAAAAAAAAAGGGGAAGTTATTTTTTAAAAAATCTCCTCTATTTTCAATTGACCACACCCTTATTTTCCATTAAGGGTGTGTTTGGAAACTTGGAAAATGAGTTCTGGAAATCATTTTCCAAGTTTTCAGTGTTTGGATGTGCCTGGAAAATCAAGTCAACGGAAATCATTTTCCGTTGACTTTGGAAAATAGGCTTGTTTTGGAGGAAAATGACTTTCCCTTTTTTTTAGGGGAAGTCATTTTCCAACTTTTACACCAACATCACACCACCACCAACATCATCAACACCATACCACCATCACCACCACTATTGTCGCCGCCACCACCACTATACCCCGCCACCATCACACCACCACCACAACCACCACCAACACCGCAACCACTACCACCACCACCACCACCACCACCACCATACCACCGCCACCATCGCCGCCGCCACCTTCACACCACCGCCTCCGCCACCACCACCACCGCAACCACCGTCGCCGCCACCACTACCATCATACCACCGCCGCCGCCATCACCACCATACCACCGCAACCACCGCCACCATACCACCGCAAACACCATCGCCGCCACCACCACCATACCACTATAACCACTGTCGCCGCTACCACCGCCACCACCACCATACCACCACTACCACCATACCACCGCCACCACTACCACACCACCGCCATCACACCGCCACTGCCGTCGCCGCCACCACCACCACCACCACCATACCGCCGCCACCACCACCATACCACCGCAACCATCGTCGCCGCCACCACCACCACCACCATCGCAAGCACACGACCACTGCCACCACCGTCATACTACCATCACCATCACACCAACACCACTACCGCCGTCGCCGCCACCACCAGCATACTACCGCAACCACCGTCGCCGCTGCCACCACCATGCCACCGCAACCACCGCCACCACCATCACACCGTCGCCGCGCCACCTCCACGACCATATCACCGCAACCACCACCGTCGCCACCACCACCATACCACCGCCACCACACCACCACTGTCATACCACCACCAATTATTATTATTATTATTATTATTATTATTATTATTATTATATAACGAATAACACCACTACCACTACACCACCACCACCACCATAATATTTTTGATATGTTATTAGTTTTTTTTTTTTTGAAAAACTTAGCTATTTTTTATTATATTTAAAATTAATATTATATTATTATATTATTATACATGTTGTAATATTTTAAATAAAATAATTAAAATGTTTAATTATACAATTCTACTCATTTTCCAGAAAATGAACCAAACACAGAAAAACAATTTTCCATAATGCAACCAAACACTGGAAAGGAAAATGTTTTCCGGAAAATGACTCATTTTCCAGAAAACATTTTCCAGAAGTCATTTTCCTGCTTTCCAAACAGACCCTAACTTCCATTTTCTCCCTCAAGCCAACGAGTTTCCAAACGCACCCTTAGAGGAATTTGCTTGCTCTTTTATTATATTATCATCTGCCCACTTACAAGTTTTACAAATCAATTCTAAAAATTTCAAAGCAATGAAATTTACACTTAGGAATTAGTTTCACTTTTGGTCCCACAACTTTTGAGGTCTTATCCCTTTTGATGCACAACTTTAAATTTTTTTCAATTTTAGTGCCTAACTTTGTTATTTTTATTAATTTTGATCCTTCCGGCCAAATTGACGGTGAAACATAATATTGACGAATTTTATATTTTAGGGACAAAATCATCATCTGAAAGAAAAATCTTCAATATCTAAACAAAAAAAAAAAAAAAAAAAATTAGATTAAGAGAAAAAGAATGGCTTGCAAATCATCAACGCTATAAATTAATCCCATAGATTTGTGTTTAGTTTATGTCCGTCTTCCCCATTATTCTCATCGATCAACATACTCATAGATATGATTTTACAGCGATTTTATTTACATATTGAAGATGTTTCATTGGGATGATGATTTTGCCCCTAAAATATAAAATCCGACAACATTTTGTTGTCAATTTGACTGATAGGACCAAAATTGATAAAAATAACAAAGTTAGACATCAAAATTGAAAAAATTTAAAGTTGTGCACTAAAACTCTAAAAGTGATAAAACCTCTTCTCAAAAAAAAAATGATAAGACCTCAAAAGTCATGTGACCAAAAGTGAAATTAATTCTACACTTAATAAAGAAAGCAAAAATAAACCTGTGAGTACACTTATACGATATCATGCATAATAATAATCAAAAAGCTAAGTCATAAATAGTTACAAAAGTGTCATCAACACAATTTCATATCAAAATATATAAAATATAACAATAAGGGTAAAAGAAAAAAGATGACCAAGTCATTACCTCCTCCTTCTCTGCCTTAATTGAAAGCACTCCATTTATTTGATTCCTGGAAGAAGCCATCTGTCATCTTTCTTCTGTCAAATATAATGCCACTATTTAACTCATTATGTAATTTACACTCAGACAAGTGTAATGTAAGGGATCTTATTCCTCTTAAATTATACTACTTACAACTTTGATAGAAGAATATCAAACTGTTGCAGTTGTGGCCGGCAACATTAACTCAGCCAGCCAAGAGTGTAATACAAAGCTAAGGGATTTGATCCTTTTAAAATTTAAACTAAGAAGAAACACTACAAGCCAGAAAACATGGAAACTGGGGGTTTAATTTGCAGAAGTCATTGGCATTTCATCCACTTGCAATTATATTGCAGGGTTTTGAGTGAGATTGAGCCTAAGTATGAAACCATTCACAACAAAACCACAGTACATATAATCGCCAATCTTGATCCCCGTCGAGACCATTATAAAATCATTTTCGTAGTAGTGAGCAACTGGATTTCCTTCCAAATCCACAACGAAAACCCCTCCATTCTTCTCCATCTTTGGCCTCCCTACATACTTCTCCATCACTCCCAAAATCTTCCTTAAGAATGGGTACTTTTGTGCAAGCTCCCAACCATATGTGTATTCCTATATATATATCAAAAATCATTTCTAACACAATCAATCTTGGAATAACTCAATATAATAATGCACATATATACATGATCATATATGATCTTTTAGCTATCCTATCTTAATTAGAACTGTGTAATGCCCTTACGGTAACTAATCCAATCCAGAATAGGCCGTCTCCATCGTAACGAATGTTGTCTGGCATTCCTGGTAAATTCTCTATAAAAACATCCACAGATCCCTTCTTTTCACCCTTGAGGTACAACCTCTTACACCTCCTCCTACAATTCAATCCAATCAAAATATGACCATATATATAATATATATAAACATAAAAATGCAGTCCAACTATCAACTTAAACTTTTAATTGACATGGAACACATGCTTTAATTTGGTATCAACTCCATATAATCCCTGGTAAGAGGTCATGGACTCATGGGTACGAATTTATGCTCCACCTAATAAAAAGAGACTATGATCCACATGTTGCTTGGAGGTGATCAAGTAATCGAGGCGAGAAATTAAATACTTACAATGGGGTTTCACAAAAAATGACAAAGCTCTGGTCTGGAAAGACAGCAACACCATTAGCAAAGAACAAGTCGTTGACCAACACTTTGGTCTGTTTAGTATGTGGATCATAGCTTAAAAGTCTGCCATAGGGTCTTCCATCAAAAAAATCCCAAATAAAATCATGTAGTCTGTATTTCCATGATGCATCTGTGAAATACAACAAACCATCCTCTGCAACGTCAACGGCATCCGTAAGTTTGAACTTAACGCCGTCCGCCTCGTCCGTCAGCAGTTGCACTTTGCCGTCCGAGGTAACATTCAGTAATCCCTGTCGGAAATTTTACAATATCATATCCATTTTGGCCTGATCTTTTTCCTTGTAATAATAATATTTTAAAACAAAAATTTACATGTTTTATCTCACTCCCTTAATAATTTGACCTTACAAAATTATGATTTTAAAAACTTTACTTCGAATTGAGTTTATTATGGAACAGTGTCAAATAGGTTATTAAATTTATTATTTTTGTGTAATTAGATTATTACAATTAAAAAATGTACAATTAAATAAGTAAAATATGTGGGTTCACTAATAACAAACTTAATATTATAAAAATTAAATTAAAAATAAAATAGAACAAACAGAGTATTTTTTTTTTTCAATAAAACGATAATAATAATAGAAAGGGAAAATATGTGGGCTCACTATATAAGCATCGGCTACGATGACTTCACCGTGAAGTCCATGAGCGAGTCCGAGCGGCCTGCCACCGGTGTTAACCCAGTCCTCCACCGCCGAGTCAGCAGCCGACGACTCGTTCACGGTGACTCGCTTGACCCACCCATCCATACACCCCGTGTATATCACACCCGTCTTGGGGTCGTACACTATGTCCTCCGGCCCCGACAGCCGGCCTACTCCTATCTTCTCGGAATCATGGAGCAAACGGCCGTTGCGCTTGGGGGCCACCGCCGGGCTCCCCTGAGTCAACTCGTGAGCGGGGTACGGGGCCGGGTCGAACGAATCGAGCTGGTATATGACGACGCCTAAAATCACTGGAACCAGAACAGCAAAGGGCCACAGACCACTCATCTTTGTTCGAAGGATCTTATCTTGATTTTTTTTTTTTTTTTTCACTCCACTCGGGCATAAAATGGGTCAACTCAGTGGATTTACTCAAACTATATCTCCTCTATATATACTCACAATGTTACTTCCCCGAGGAGTTAATGATTCCTCACGTATATATGTTGGACAGGGAAAGCTGTAATGGTTGTCTTTTTCGTAGAAAATAGTACAAACGTAAATATGAAGGAGCAGATTAAGTTAAGCTATCCACCTGTCTAATTTTTCTGCATGGTTTAATGATATGATCGACTTTAAGTCAATAAGTCAGGATTGTACACCTTATAAAAGTACTAGTTAAGGTTTAGTAAATATTACGGAGTAAAAGTTATCAAGAAACGCATTATTTATAGGGAGTTCTGACCCCACTTAAATTAATGTTTTTTTTTAATTAAAAAAAAAAACTTAATTTAAATGATCTCAGTTTCTCCAGACTAATTCTAAGCTACAAGAGTTTCTATAGATAATGATGGCGAGTCGCACAATCGGCTCACCGTCAAATCCTAGTTTTCATGTACAAGAATCAATAACTAATTCAGACATTCACAAAGAAACTAATAACCAATTCAGACCTTTCAACAGTGTCTACTGACCTTTAAGTCATGCGATATGATAACTCAACTACATTAAGTTTTGAGCGCAAATTAATAATTTTTAAAAAATGATGTTGGTAGTGATTTGGAGAAAATAGTTTATTTTCTCCAAAACGCTGTTAAATGCACCGTTTGGTAAATCAGCCAAAAATGGGTGTTATTATCCAAATAAGGCTTGGGTGAAGTTTCAGACGTGTGGGACTCAATCTTGATGCATTCAAAATCTGCAATAGTTGATTAAGATAGTTCGTCTCTTTTATGATAAGTTCGAGGAATTCATTGACACAATTGTAATTTTGATGTCTACTATTATGCTTTTTTTTATGTCTACTTAAAATCGGATATAAAATTAGCTAAATTTTTAAATCCAAATATTGAATATATATATATATATATATATATATATATATATATATATATATATATATATAGAGAGAGAGAGAGAGGAAGGTTCAAGTGCGGCAGTGCACTTAGGTGCGGCGGTGCGGTTAATTGTAGGCCATTAGATTAGATAAATCCAACGAATCACATTCATCAAAGCTTTTTCGATATTTTTGCGCGCGTTCTCACAGTACGCGAACTGCAAGGTTAAAGTCGTCATTGGGCACCGGAATATATCAAATTATAGTGTTGTGTGTTTTATGTTCGTTATTGGTGCATTATTAACCTTACTGTGGTGTATTTGAGAATTCGTGTTGGTGCCTTCCCGAGCGGTCAGTGCGACCACACTAATAGTTATACAAATACACACCATCCATGTTAGAAAATGCACACAAAAAAAACATACACAAATTAGATACGCATCACCAGAACGCACCACTAGGTATGACTAAAAGCATCACACAGTGTTCAGAATACACCATTGGGGTGGTGAGTTATATGGTGTATTTTTTAGGTGTGTTGTGTGTTTTTTGGTGTATTTGTGCATTTCATTGTGGTGCTTTTTCCTAACACTATTGGTGTCTTTTGTTAACACTGTTGGTGTATACTGACAAGCGACCGATATAAATAACCACTACAATTACCATAACACCCTCCACTTACCAGGACGCGCTTAAATCTTTAAATCTTCAGAAATTAGCCGTTGCCGTTAGATTAAGCAAAATGGACGACGCTGATATGACCGCACCGCCGCACCTAAAGCCACTGCCGCATATGAGCCTTATTATATATATATATATATATATATATATATATATATATATATATATATATTTTGAATGCTAGTGAGTCTATTACATTATAGTATCTATTCAAACAGAAAATATGTTATATTTAATATTTACCATTATGAAAACTTAAAATCACACATTTTAAGTTTTTTTGTTTTTTTTGTTTTTTTGTTTTTTTTGTTTTTTTTTTTTGTTTTGTTTTGTTTTTTTTTGAGTTATGAAATATAGATATAATATTTGAAATCTATATAGATTACACAGTCTTAGTGATTTAGGTGAGTAGACATATGAATACTTGTTTCTTATTTGTTGTCTTTTAACATATATTTATAGGGCTTTGTATTTTCTTTACCAAAAGACAATATACAATAGCTTATTCAGAAATCTTCTCTTTATTTTCGTAACATTGTATCAGAGCCCAGTGGGCATTGGTCGGCGCAGGGAGGCGACCTCACCCGGAAAAGTTTTGCAGCGAACGGAACCTTCACGCGCCGCCACTAACCGGAGCTCCGACGACCACGCACCGGCGCGTGGAGGCACGTAAAGCCTTTTCCGACGAGGTTTCCGACAGAAATTTGTCTCGTTCGTCTCGTCTTGATGAGCCCGTTCCATCATTGTATTGTAGAAGGTACCTTTTTGAGCTTTTTAAGTACTTTGAGTTTAGGGTTAGGCACGTGTGGTCTTTTCGGCCACCGAAAATTTTTTTGGTCGACAATTCCTTGGTCGCCTGAGTCCCTTCTTCTCGGTTCTAGACTTAGTTTGGACCGTTGATTTTTGTTCTATGGTCAAATTGTTTTGTACCCCTTCAGGCTTCATTTTTTATGTGTTTTGTGATATATTTATGATATGTGTTGGTGGGTATGACTGGGTATAAATGTGTTGCTGTTACCGCCTTGGGATCTTATGACGAAGAGGGTTATTGGTGAGAGGTTTGCATCTGGGGGTCTCTACGTTCTTGACCTCTAGAAGGATGGAATCTGTTGCGTGTTTTGTTGCTGTCTCTCCTTTGTTCCTTTGTTTTGGTGTTGTCTCTTATTTGTTTAGGTGTTGTCTCTTCCTTGTTTAGGTGTTGTCTCTCCTTTTTTATGCTCGTCATTTGGAGCATGTTGTTGGGTAATATGGTTGTAAAATCCCAAAAATAATAATCCTACGGAAAGATTAATATTATATGGGAAAGGAAAAACTGGGAAGGAAAAGGTTGAGTGTTTGGGTATAGATTTAGCACGAGTTCAAACACAAAGTTCTTTTCCTTAAAACCTTATTTGCTACCTCCCATAAGTGCTAGGAGCGTTGTAGCCTAGGTTTCCCAGGATAAAACGTGCTACGATTCCTTGTTTAAGCACCTAAACAAGGAACCCGGCAAACAAAGCAAGAGCAAGAACACTGCTGGGTAAAGAAGAGAGTAGAAGCAGAAGTTTTGAAGCAAAGTATACTGGAATTCCTTAGTTTCGTTCTGTGTAAAATGCTTCTGCCCTACCTCTCTTTATATAGGGCTGTTGGAAGGGATAGCATTCAACATGACATTTACTTGGTATTAAACCAATTGTGTAACACCTGTAACGGTCACCCACTAAGTAGGATTAAACTCAGAATTTAAAATTGGAATTAAAACAGTATTAATTCCGTAACAGATGAGTTTAATCTGTACAACAGGCTGAACTTTCGGGTTTCAGACCGTTGGGGTGAAGGTTCACATGAGAGCACACGGACCAGGCAACACGAGAGTACATCTCTCGTGTGCACTGTGGTACAACCCGAAGTTAGGCATAACTTAGCCCGCAAGGCCAGCCCATTTCCGGACGTCTCTCGTGTACACTGAAGTTAGGCATAACTTAGCTCGCAAGGCCAGCCCATTTCCGGACGACATTCGTGCCCACAGGTGCCGGCGCACGCGAGCTCGGGCTTGAAATGGCTTTATTTCAAGCCTTTTTGATGTCCTCTAGTTGGATTTTGATTTGCACCCCCCCCCCCCCCCGGTGCGAGAGAGCCTCTATGCTATACAATTCTACAAGCTTAAAAAGAGCTCATGTATATAAGGGGGGCAAATCTTGTTTCCAAACCAATGTGGGACAAAGTCCTACATTTTCCCTTCATTTCCCAACTTAAATGGGTCTACTTTGAGAATCAATATCTCATTCACCCATTATCCGTTTTGAGCGTATAATATATCAATCTCTTCGTCTCACTACGAAGAACCCGAATCCACTTTGACCCGACCCAAATCGGAAGTGGACCCCACTGATAATTGTACCACAAAATAGCCACTTAATATGCCATTTTATGCCATTTCAAGCTAATTTTTCCAACACATGTTTCCCTTTTTGTTAGTAAAGATGCTTCCCTTTTGCTAGTAAAGAAATTGTGTCCTCCAGTTTGGAGTTTGTCTTCTTTACCTTGTGTATCCAGGCTTGTTTGGTCCACTTTGCGTTCACCCGGAGTTGAAGTATTGGTGGCGTCCAAGCTTATGTTGCAGGGGAAGTGTCCAATCACAACCTTGTTCGATCCACTTTGTGTTCACCTCAGAGTTGAGGTATTGGTGGAGTCCAAGCTTCGTTTCAGGGGTGAGCTAGCTTAGTATCCAATCCCAAGCTTGCTCAGTCACTTTGAGTTCACCCATTATGTTGTTCGTGGTATTGGTGGAGTCCAAACTTTCGTTTCAAGAGAGTGTCCTAAATGGATTTGAGTTATTTTGTTATTTTGGATTAGTTATATTTGGGTTATCCGTTATTTGTTACGTTATCCGTTATTTGTGTAACAAGTTGGACATGATTAATATCTATGCTCCAACTTGAGGAGAAGTGTTATGGAATATAGATATAATCTTTAGAATCTCTATAGATTATTAGGCAATCTTAGAGATTTAAATAAGTAGGCATATGAAAACTTGTTTCCTATTCAATTCATAGTTTTCTAGCATGGCTTTATATCGTCTTTTGCAGAAGAAAGTATATAGATCTATTACAAAGTTTTCTAGCATGGCTTTATATAGTCTTTTGCAGAAGAAAGTGTTCGTATACTTTCTGTACTTACTGAAATACAAAGAACCAATAACGCCTCCATTAAAGCTCGAACTCATAACCTTCCAAATGAAAATCCAACCCGGGTACCATTAGACCACATAGTCTTGGTGTGTATATATATATATATATATATATACATATATTGTTTTCTACTGAAGCCAATGTTAAATGTGAATTTGATAGTTAGAAAATAAATTTATTTTTCTAAATAATCAATCTAGGGTGATATGGTGATATTTAAAAATAAGGGTTAAATAGGCCACTGAACTACACATCAAAATGCAATTAGATCATTGAACTCAAAAAATATGTAATTGGGTCCCTGAACAACGCAAAATAATACAATTGAACCAAAAGTGACCTGATTACGTGTTAGTTTGCAGACGTGGAAGTTATCGTATTAAAATAATAATTTTTTATTTTATTTTAATAATTCTAAATAACAAAATTAATTTTTTTCTTTTTTTAAAAAGGAGGGGAGCTTTGTCTCCCTGCCGGAGGAGACGAAGAGGTCCCTTCGTCTCCGGCATGGAGACGAAGACATGGAGACAAAGGGTTCTTCGTCTCTATGCCGGAGGAGACGAAGAACTGTCTCCGTCAACATGTTGGAGACGAAGGGACCTCTACGTCTCCTCCGACATGGAGACAAACATGTCCCTTTGTCTCCAGGCTGCCGGAGACAAAGCCCCCCCCCCCCTCCCCACCAGGGGCGGATGGACATTGTTGCTGCAGGGGGCCTTGGCCCCCCCTAAACAAAATTATTAATACTAATATGGAAAATAATTATTAATATACTAATGTATGGGTGGATGATTTAGAGGCATCTTGGGCCCTTGGCCCCCCTCTCCCAAAAAAAATATTAAGTATACTATTATTTTTTTGGCCCCCTTCACCAAGGCAAATTATGTTCTTTAAAGTAGACATGGTTCAAAACTGTTCATATATAATTATGAATATATATTTCAAAAATTATGAACATATAGTTCTATAATTATGAACATAGAGTTGTGAACATAATTATGAATATATAGTTCTGTAATTATGAATATAGAGATTCAATAATTGTGAATATGAAGTTCAAAAATTATGAATATATATCTTTATAATTATGAACATATAGTTCAGTAATTATGAACATAGAGTTTTGTAATTGTGAATATAGAGTTCAATAATTATGAACATAGAATTGTGTCCACCTTGCAAGGTGGATACGGTTCCACAGCATAACGATTGCTTCACCAAAGTATCTACACTCTCCAAACAAAAACTTTTAAACTAAGCTTTCAAAATCTTATTTGATTCGCAACTAGCCCTGACCAAAAATATGATTTCTAATATTGTCTAACATGCTCAAAATTTCTTCTTCTTGAAATATGTATAAGCCAAAAATATGGCTTATACATATTTCTTATTCTTTTTTTTTTCCAGATTCATTTTTTTAAAATGAATTTTTTCCTTATTGATCCACACTTTTAATTTAAATTTGTTTAAAGGGTTTTGACAATGTTTATATGTGAACTATCCATATTTAAAAAATGTTTGCTCTTTGGTGAATGGTATTTCCTTGTGGACTGACAGCTCACGGCTCTTGATCATTGGTCACAACAAGTGAGATTTTTTTATATCTTTGATATATAATAGCATTTGAACTAATATTTTTTTTGGTGTAAAGCATTTGAACTAACATGCTTTGCCAAGCTTTGCAACTTCAATTTCAAGAAATATTGAATGCAATGCATCTTGTGTCATCTACTAAGATGCTTATTCAAAATTTAAGAGATAGCGGTTGGGATGAATTAGTTGCAAGTGTGAAGTCTTTTTGTGAAACTGTCAACATAATTGTGCCGAATTTTGATGCTCAATATATTGCAAGAAGAGGAAGGTCTAGGCATCAACAAGATGAATTAACAATTGGGCATCATTAGAAATTTTATATTTTTAATGTTGTGATTGATTCTCAGTTACAAGAGTTGAGCAATAGGTTTGATGATAAAGCAATGGAGTTAATTATTCATAGTTCATCATTAGATCCAAAAGAGATGTGTATGTCATTCAGAATTGATGACGATTGTAAGTTGGTAGAGAAGTTTTACCCTCAAGTTATGGAGTTAATTATTCTCAGTTTATCGTTATTCTCTAGCAAATTATGATTGGCCTCCCGCACCAACAAATCCTGGCTCCGCCCCTGCCCACACCCCCACCCCCACCCCCCACCCTTTTTTTTTTTTAAAAAAATTGTTATTTATAATAATTAAAATAAAATTTAAAAAATATTATTTTAATATGATAACCTCCACGTCGGTAAATTAATAGGTCACTTTTGGCTTAAATGCATCAGTTTGCATTGTTCAAGGGACCCAATTGCATGTTTTTTTTTTAATTCAATAGCTTAATTGTATTTTGGTGTATAGTTGGATGGTCTGTTTGACCCTTATTCTTGATATTTATATGCTCAACGGTTAATTAGTACAAAATGATATAAATCAAAACTAAGATGTTCTTCAATAATTTGAAATTTTAAAATAAATTGTTATGTGTCTGATTTAATTAATTGTTATGTATAAACTTTATACATTTAGAAACTAAATCAAAACTACTGGTAACACAAAAAATTAAAATTATAAATAACAAAAAAAACATAAAAGAAAATAAGAAAAAAGAAAGAGTTAGTTTTTAACCAATTAATAATAAACATGAAAAGAAAAATAAGACACACAGAGTAATATATTTACCTTAGCTTTCCCGTGATATCAGAGACAAGCTAATAAGTGCGAACAAAATTGAGGTTTATTGAATGGTTAAGAGATTCACGCAGATTATACTACAGTTATACTTATTCTTTTCCCCTTTAAACAACACCATATCCTGGGAAATTGGGTTTTGCAAATTAAACATCATATCATATCATTTTGTATTTCTTGTTCATCTATCCATTCCACTTTTTTTTTTTTTTTTTTTTTTTTTTTTTTTTTTTTTTTTTTTTGAAAACCTATCCATTCCACTTAATTAGCTTGCAAGTGCAGAATATTGAGTTAGATTGAGGGTGAGTATGAAGCCAGAGTGTACATTACCACAGTACATATGATCACCAATTTTGATTCCAGTTGAGACGTGTGTCAAATGACGATCATAATAGTGAGCAACTGGATTGCCTTCCAAATCCACAACCAAAACCCCTCCATTCTTCTCCAAATGTGGCCGCCCTATATACTTATCCATCACTACCATAATCTTTCTCAGGAATGAGTACTTCTGTGCAAGCTCCCAACCGTACGTGTACTCCTATCAATAATATAATCAACACATTATATATTATATATGCTCTGAGCATAACTCAATGGTCAAAAGGCTAAGTGTGGGTCAATGGGAAGGGGATTTCAACTTTGAGACGAAAAGCAAGTACTCAGAACCTCCCTCACTGAGAGTAGGGAGTAAGGGACCCTCAAGTTTAAAGTTGAAACTTATGTAAAGATTATATCAAATTATATATGACCTTTAACTTAGTACTGGGAATGTAATATATATATATATATATATATATATATATATATACTTACTGTGACTAATCCAATCCAAAATAAACCCTCTCCATCGTAACGAATGTTGTCTGGTGGTCCTGGCAAATCTTCAATAAAAGCTTCCGCGGTGCCCTTCCTTTCACCCTTTATGTAAAATTTTTTACACCTCCTCCTACAATTCAATCCAATCAAAATATCCCAAGAATGACTTGATCAATTGAGCAATCTTGAGCATAAATATACAATTATGAATTTGTATGCTAATTAACAACACATTTGGTTCATGGAATATCAGAAATAAATAAGTACGGAGTAATATATATATATATATATATATATATATATATATATTTACTTACATTGGAGTTTCACAAAAGATGACAGAGCTCTGGTCTGGAAAGACAGCAACGCCATTAGCAAAGAACAAGTGTTTGAGCAGCACTTTGGTTTGCTTAGTGTTTGGATTATAGCTTAAAAGTCTGCCGTGGGGTCTCCCTTCACAGGCATCCCAAAAGAAATGTTTGAGTCTGTATTTCCAGGACGCATCTGTGAAATACAACATACCATCCTCGGCCACATCTACGGCATCCGTCAGTTTGAACTTTACGCCGTCCGCCTCGTCCGTAAGCAGTTGCACTTTGCCGTCCGAGGTTACGTTCAATAATCCCTGTCACAATTTTTTTTAATTGGTATGTAGTGATATCCACGATGCAAGGTCCATCTTGACCTATGGTTATTAGGACTGTTAACGAATCTAATATGAACAAGTAGATGCTGAATTGTTCGTTTGTTAAGATTTTTAGACTGTTCGTGTTTGTTTGTAGAGATTTTAAAAATTTTGATGAGAGTAAAAATTAAAGTTAAGGGTAGGTTTTTAGACTCCAAATAAACCCTGTTTGGTAAAATTTTTAACTTTTTCACGAGTTCTTAACAGACGAGCCTACAAATATTCATATTCATCAACACCCTACACATGACCATAGTATAATTTGCCAATAATAATAATACAAAAGGAAAATGTGTGACTCACTATGTCAGCATCGGCTACGATGACTTCACCATGAAGTCCATGAGCGAGTCCCAACGGCCGGCCACCTGTGTTAACCCAGTCCTCCACTGCCGAGTCCGCAGGCGACGACTCGTTCACAGTGACTCGCTTGATCCACCCATCCATACACCCCGTGTATATCACACCCGTCTTGGGGTCGTACGCTATGTCCTCCGGCCCCGACAACCGCCCTACTCCTATCTTCTCGGAACCATGCAGCAAACGGCCGTTACGCTTCGGGGCCACCGCCGGCCTCCCCTGAGTCAACTCGTGAGCGGGGTACGGGGCCGGGTCGAACGAGTCGAGCTGGTATATGACGACTCCTAAAATCACTGGCACCAGAAAAGCAAAGGGCCACAGACCACTCATGATTGTTCGATCGCAGGATGTTTTCTTGATTTCTTCACTTCCCTCGGATGGGCATAAAATGGGTCAACTCAGTGAATTTACGTACTCAAAACTATATCTAATGTAGTATATTGGACTCACGTAGGGCTGGATCTCGAGGGCAGATCCGAATGATGTCTTCTTCACAGAAAGATGAAGTATTTTAACAATTTGTTATATATAATTGAATATATTTATCATTTATTATGC